AAAAAAGAAACTAGTAATTACCGCTACACTAAGTATTACGTAAAGTAGCCCGGGCGCGCTCGGTTTATCAAAGTTAGATAGTATAGATGGCACAAAAATTACGATGGTTAGATAAAAATATCTGAGTTACGCTAAGGGACCACCTAACGATCATTTTATCATGTTGTTGATAAGCTTGCACTGGGTAAAACGCGTTCCAGGCCGGGCGGTGGATCTGATAGACATTTCGTATTTAAGACTTTAAAACGAATTACATTGTGGATGTGTAGATATACTATTTTATCAAAACTGTTTTTTCGCATCTAAATCGCGTATATTTCTTTTTCAAACAAGTCACTTTGTTTGAAAAGATTTCTTTAGAAAAAAAAACAAATGTACACAATTTAGATCCGAAAAAATAGTTTCATTTCCTATGTGTAACAATCGCGAAAACCTAAGAACTCGATATTTTATCGAAATCTATAAACGATATTCTTATTGTGTTGAAATATTAGCGTAAAATATGCCATTTTTGTTATTGATACGAAGGTCGAACAAAAACAAAGAAAAATTCCTTCAAACAAAGGACTCGAACCAACGACTCTTTCGCCAAACCGGGGCTCTCGCTCTCCCAACTGAGCTAAGGAACGAGTAAGCCAGACCTTACGAATTTCTCTTTGCTTTGTTCGAAAAACCTGAAGAAATCTATAAAGGTTTTTTCAACTACCAATCGCCGATTTGTCATTTTTTGAAATTTAATTTGCGAGTTTGAGTCCATGTCTATAAAAACCACGACTTTATTTGTTTCTAGTTCTCGTCTATACTAAAATGTCATTGCTTGATCAATTAATGCTAAAATAGGGCCAAATTTTTTTTGCATAGCGTGTCCTCGCAGGACTTGCCACTACAGCAAGCACATCAATTATGTAGTAGGTTTCTTTTAAGAGCTAAATATATCTATACAAATATGAAAAAAAGAATTAAATGCTTTCAAATAAAAATATCTTAATTTCATAGACAATCCAACTGCTTTTTTTATGATACCAAGTGATGGGACAAACTATACTTCGTTTCAATCCATTTTGAACAAAAAGTAAACAGACAAATCACTGACCTGACCATAGACGGTTTAGTGATGGCCAATTGTAACGCCAACTACAAATCGATTAATTAATTGAATGAATTGATTTGTTCAATTGAGTCATACTAGCGGTTTTCCTAAAATAACCTATATAAGCATATTTAAATTTTCAATTTAAATCCTCCTTCAAATCCTTACACTTAGATACTCGTTCGACTGCGATTGAAATGTTCGGTTTAAAAATCGATTACTGAACTTTAATTGATTGAACCAAATGTTTTTTGTTTCGAACAGCACTTTGCAACCATAGTCAAGTCATAGAAGTATAGAGGAATAATAACCTCACTTTTGGACTATCATTTTTCAAATACGATTTTACGATGCTATTCAAATGAATATTGTTGGAAAAATTGATGATATATCAAGTCGAAATGTTCGAAATATACGTGAAAGTGTTACTTATTCGATTTAATGAGTGATTGCTTTAGAATTTTACCTAAACAGGTTTGTTTACTTTTTGTTCAAAATGGATTGAAACAGACTATAGACATGCGCCTGGTGGTAAAAAGTTGCAATGCCGCTTAGAGCTTTAAATCGCAGAGATCTGAGGGACACTGCCACTGCGCCCGTCACCCTGAGACATAATTTGACACCGTTCAAAACCGGTACGCAGTAAGGCTCACTTTACTTCTTGGCGGCAGAAATAGATAAGGTGGCTATACTTTACGGGACGATTTTTCCCTCAAGGAGCTCTATTGCTACTAAAACCTACAATCGAAAACTCTCTGTTTTCTATTGTCTATAGCAGTGTCCGGACAATGTCGCAATACACTGCGACTGGCATTTCCGGCACTAGCCCGGAGAGCTAGTAGTGGATAAGCTAGGTACCCTCCGGTCCCTCCACCCGCTTAGCTTATTGGGAAATGGAGAGACGTCGTTTTTTCGGCGTCGGGAAGTAAGCGTCCTTACAGCTCCGCCACCAAAGAGATTTGGTAGTGGACTCAGAGTCGACGGATTAGCGGTGGCAACCGCTAATTGTGCAATGCGCAGCGGGAAGTGAGCGTGCCTACAGCTCCGGTACCTATCTGGAGGGTACTATACGTGCACCCGGGGCGGCTCACGGGCGACGGGCGCAGTGGCGTGCCCTTCAGATCTTTGTTATTAAAAGCTCTAGAGTGACCATGTACCATACTATATTTTATTGAAAGACCTTTTAAATCTATTTGTGCAATATGGAAATTAAAAAATAAGCATGTGTGACATCGCGCTACGAGCTACTCACCTCCCTTCTGTCAACATGATTCATCCAATTTTGTATTCTCCATGACCCACGTCTTTTAGAACTTTCTTTCTTAATATGATCGTAATTCTGCGTCACCAATTATTCCTTTGTACGTATTATAGTAGTAGTACATAGCACAACATGTAGCACTATATCATCATATATAATATATATATATATATATATATATACACCGAGCCCTATACCCGGGTGGTCGCTTACAGATTACGGGGTGTGCTTATGCTCTTCGGTAGCACAGCGATAATATTCACTATGGGCGCTTGATGAAGAGGTTCCATATTCTTATTTGAGTCAATTTATGAAAAAATATTTTTAAGTTGGTCCTGGTCAGGGTATTCTGGGTACTGCCTTCAGAATTATCGTTACTCTGGTACTCATAGTACAGGAAACTCCCTAGTTTGGGACCAGAAATCTGAAGTGATTGTCTGGCATTTTTTCCCATACACACACACACACATACAATACATCTTTTTGGCATAGCTTCCAATAAAAAAGAATCTAACAGAGAGACGGTCGACAAGAACGCTATAAGTTGTATAAACATATTTCCACTACATCGGGGAGTATGCTTACATTTTGAACAATTGTAAAATCTAGTCCCCGTATACTACCTACGTAAGGTGGCGTGCGGACGCTTCGGGCTTCGCCCTCCGCTAGACCTCGGCCTACGGCCTCGGCACTTGTGACTTTAAAAAAATTAACATAGCTCTTTAATGGCGGTCATATTGATCAATGGCAGAAAGTAAATTTTGACTGAAAATTATTATTAAACACCCATAGAGGTCCCCACATGCCGATTTTCAGCTGAAATAGAGCAAATTTACATGTGCCGCCAAAAAGTTTGTATGGCAGACATATTGAAAAATAGCGAAAAATAAATTTTCACCGCAAATTATTATCAAGCGCTCCTATAGACCCCCATATGCCAATTTTCAAAGGGATCAGCAATTTTTGTTCTGCCGCCAACGAACGCTTCTATGACGGCCATATTTGAAAATGGCGAAAAACAAATTTTGAGCATAAATTAATATCCGGCATTTCTAGTGGCCTTCACATGCCAATTTTCAGTCGAATCAAAGCAAATCTCTTTCGGCAGCTATTTTTAACGAAAAAAACACTTATATGGCAGCCATATTAAAAAATGGCGAAAATAAATTTTTGACCCCAAATTATGATTAAGAACTCCTAAAGACCCTCGCATGCCAATTTTCGGATCGAAGCAAGTTTTTCTTCGGCTGCCACTTGCAAATAGCCATCTTGGATTTTTTTAACCCAGGCAGTTGACCAGTGTTACCCTCTATGACATTCCTTCAAGCACCTCCTACCTATCTCTAATAGTTTCCGTAATAGGAGGCTTTGAAATTTGTATAGCGACCATCTTGTTTATTTGAATTTCGAAAATTTTTTACTTCCCACGGAAATTGACCAGGGTGTATCTCATAAAAATGCACAAATATCCCCCCCCGTGTACTATAGTTTCTGCAGGCCGTTAATCACTTGTTTACATTTTCCACATTCATGTCTTTTCATATTTGATGCCTTGGAGCCTATCCGCGTACAACGGTATAAAAATCTTTTTTCTACCATATCGGGAAGTATGCTTTCTATTTTTCTAAATGAGTCTAGACTTGTAGCTATCTATACATATATAGATATATAATTATATAATAGTTCAGCCTCTTGAAATTTCACAATAACGGATTTATTTTTTGGGTCGAAATTGCTTTATTTGCTTTATCAAACATACACTATATAAAAGTCACAGATGACTGATATGGGACACGTAACGTTGGAATATTTGAAAAATCAAATTACGCGATATAGGTCCAAGATTTTTTTTTCCGAAATCCGACTATACTTAAGTAACTTTAATTTTGGACAATATTTATTAAGATCCAAGTACATATTTATATTGAATGAAAATATGATATTTACTTAATACCTTTATCTAGATATCTTTATTTAAACTGTTAGTCAGTAATCATTACCTAATTTCACCGATAATTATTGCTACGCATTTCATTTCAAATAGTAATTTACACACGAAAAAAATTCTTTCTGTGAAATCGTTTATAACCCAGTCTTTACGAATAAAGACCTCTTATAAGCTAATTAAGAATTAGGTTTTATCACTGTTGTTCTACTATCCGATTTTCAGGCGAATATTTCTTAAATGCCTTTATCACAAACAAGTTGATAAATTCATAATCAAACCTATATTGAAAACAAAATAAAAGGAAACGCGATATTTGTTAGGTGTAATACAAAACAAAGTACGTCTACTGGGTGCCTCAATATTCAACCTATATGAATAGAGGTAGCTGTTTTGTGAATAAAACAGCTGATTTAAGTTTGTATTGAGAAATCGTAAATATGTGGATTCCCAAAAATTGTCACCAAATGTTCATTTGAAACAATTTGAAACAAACTATTAAATATTACAAAACAAAAAAAAAATATATAAAAAACGTGCAATTTAACTGGAAGAAAACCTAGAAAAAATTGTATTTTCTTGAACAGCATTGTTATAATGAACAGATTACAGTCAATCTTCTAAACAAAAATACACAAATTGAATCTTTGAATGTGGTTATTAACCTGTTTCCAGGTAGAGCCATAAAATAAAAATTAACTTACCTCAACCCCAATCCAATCTTGTCTTTGAATAGCAATGGTGTAGTAAATCCATTTTTTTGCAGGTAAGAAACAGTGAGATCAGCTCCATGCATTTCTAGTATGGAGCCAGAGTGTTCAAAGCGGGCACTCTCCAGCTTGTCAGCCAGAGAGAACCCACGGCCTCCCTCTGCTTCATCGTCCCCAAGAGCCCATTCATCAGAATATAGTTTGCGCTGCTTGCGTTCTCGCTGTTAACAAATATATAAACACAGTGTTTATCTACAACATGGGAGTATTTATCTATGGAGTGTGAAAATGCTGATATTACAATATTTATAAAACTTTACAATTTTATGTAGTAAGTGTCCTGAATAATAAACAAGTTTTATGCACTCACTATTATGTCAAAACTAAAATGCTCTAATAAATTTTTACCTTAAATTGTAGCATTACAAGGGCGTGAAATATATGTATTATTGTCATACTAATGAGTGTGTGCAACATTTCTTATAAATGCAATCTATTTATTATAATAGCCAATAATTAAAGCTTATTTTTCTTATGAAAATCTGACAAGTAAAATTACATGTTGACTTTGTGTTCTAATTAGGTAATAATAATTATTAATAAGTATGATATAATGAACATGTGTACGGATGAACCTGCTACCATATGCAATAGCATGACAGCTGGTGCATACTGCAATTGCAATGCATAGTAAAGAGATCAAGTTATTTATAGTCCTGTTGAAGGATTGGCCTCCCCATTGATATAATATTGAATAATGTTGCAACATATTTCAGTACAAAAGTCTTCCTCCCAGGGACATTACAGTAAATATAAGTGAAACTGAAACCCAAAACTGTGCTAGAGAAACTTTCACTTTTTGTGAAAGAGTCTGTCACAACTTTTTTAACCTGATAAATATTTCTAAAAACCTCATTTAAAGAAAATAACATACATAGTATATTATAAGCTTATGTATCAATATAAAGTAATTTATTTTTTTACCAAGGCCATTGAAATGCGACCAAAGTGAAGCGGCATTCTTATAACTTATAACAATAAAACTTTAGATGCGAGGGTTGTTTGCCTTCGCAGTGTCAAACAAAGAACTCTGTTGATACGAAGAACGTGTCGAATATTATAATCAATTTTACGTATAGTTTGGCCAACTAGTAATCGCACAGCGAACAAAACATTAGTCGTCGTGTAATAAAGCAGATTACGAGGCTCGACGTGTGGTCGCAGCGACGAGCGTCCACCGCGCACGCCCCGGGCCTGTCCTCTCCGCCAGCCCGCGGGAGGGAAACGCCTTTCGTCCCTACCGGAGGCCCATTATGCCTAGCGGCTGTCGTCGCCGCTGCGCGTCTCTATGCCTCTCTCAAACCGATGCCGGTTCTTCGCAGTGCTGCGATCTCCGGAACTATTATAGATTTTGACACCTCCTCGCATGCGCGAATGCATACGGCCGCCGCGTTTCAAACTCGGTCGAGGCATGATCGCAAAAAACCCAAGTCCGATGACCTACGATGATCATCATCAATGATGAACATTTAGTTTCAAACACGACAGCGTCCATATTCCGACGACTTTAGCGAATCGATACACGATGCAGCGATGCACCATTTCATGTTTACGTGATCCCAGATAAAGCCACCATGGCGTCACCCGGGACTAAATACGTAAAAATGTAACCATAAACACTTACCAGCTGCCTTGGAACTTGTTTTTTGTTGTTCAGCAGTGTTTCCGACATGTTTCTGTTAGTCAGAAACACTGCGCCACGAATTTAACACTATTTTACGTAAATATTTTACACGGAGCACGAGAAAAAGTAACGCAATCCACCATTTGCAACAGTTCACACTGCTGCCAACAACGCGGCGAGCAATCACTCCGGTAATTTACTTGAAGTTGGCAGCGCGGAAAACGTTCTATTGGTTTATTTATGAAATGCGATGGTGGGAACTTTTAAAACATCGTCATTCTATCGTAAACATATCTTGCGGAACAAAATTATTGATATTATAAATCAAAATCAAATGTTGTAAATGTTGTAAACTAATAAAAGGTATTGAATATAAACGGCTGTAACTTTAAGAAGAATGATTTGTGGTTGAATGGGAACTCATCATCAGAATTCGATTATTTATTTAATTTTCTAAGTGATTGTTTGTCTGTCAGTTCTCCGACAAGAAGTTAAATAAATAAATAAATAAATAAATAGTTACAGAAATATCGATTTACAAATACAGTTCTAAAGGCGCAAAATTGTATGAAAAAATTAAAAATTATTTTTTGACAGATTTACGTAAAGCCATTGGAGATTGGAAATAGCAGTATTAAAGAAAAATAATTGAATTATATTATGATTATATTACAATAAAATTGACAATCGCCTTTCCATTTACTGTTAATAGAGCTTAAACAAATAAAATAAATAACACTATACAGAAAGGTTAAAATTAAGTAAATAAATTAAGTAAACAGTTCTAACACTAAATATTTTTTTATCAAATAAAAATAACAATAACCTAAGATAATCTTTGTGAATATTTAATGATGCAATATTAAATTAGAGCGTGACAGTGCATTTTGAAGATTTTTCTGCCCGGCCCGTATTGCATAGAGAGGGAGGTATCATGAAAGGGTGGACATCCCAGCTCCCTCACCCCCTCCCAAACACCTTTCCCTTACTTAAATAACTTCGATCAGAACTCTATCTGAATATAATATGTTCCGTACAGCATTTTGTTTGATGTTATTTCTTTTCAGAGCATGATCACCATTGGATTAACTAGATATTTCTTTTCGTTGCCTAGTGTTTTTTTACAACAACTGAATTCTTTTCTTGTACAGTATTATGCCTAAGGCCTTGTGCCGTGATGTAGCACTGACAGCAAACACAAAATAAATAGCAAATAGAAGCTATCAAGTGGTGTTGCCAAGTTAGTGTTTTCGCCCCTAAATATGGGGAAATTGTTACTTGAGTAGTTTTTTAAATACTCGGATATTTTTTAACTTATTTACTTGGACAGTATGTTATTTTACATGTAGTAATGATTGATGTGGCAGGTAAATAAAGAAATTGTTATTGATTGTTGTATTATGAGGTTTCGGGTATTTATAAGTTAGGCTGACTACTACTGAACCGTGGCAATGTTGACATACAGCTATATGTATATGTAGCTCATAAGCTGTCCAAAGCGGAATGGACTCTACAATCGTAATTTTATTTGCCATTATATTTTAAGCGCCTTATTAAATGAAAAAGTGTGTCGAAGTGTCAATTACCAAACAAGAACTTTTTGCTCTAATATTTCTATAAGGTTATACTTACGTTCTAATTTACTATATTTTCCTGACCGGGACTTTATACGTATTATTTAAGTTTATTTAGCCTTATTGCGATTGAGTTTTACAATCCTTCGCTTCTTAGAAAATTATTTTTTCAAGACGTCTTGTCACGTGGTTAAAATTGTTGAATTGCCTGTCTAATGGTCGTATTCCAGAACTCTACTCAGTGCTCAAGTCATGACTTGAGTATTATTTGAAGCACTGGAAATCATACTCAAGTCCTTGCCATTAGAGTCGTATTTCCAGTGTGTGACAGCATACTCAAGTCCTGACTTGCGAATTGAGTAGAGTTCTGTCTATGCTCAAGTCAGGATTTGAGCAGACTTGAGTATGATTTCAAGCACTGGAAATACGACCCTAATGGCGAGGACTTGAGTATGATTTTCAGTGCTCACTGCAATACTCAAGTCCTGACTTGAGTATTGAGTAGAGTTCCGGAATACGACCCTTAGGGTCGTATTCTAGAACACTATTAAATGCTCAAGTCAGGATTGCACTGGCAACACAAGCACTGGAAATACGACCCTAATGGCAGGGACTTGAGTATGATTTCGAGTGCTTTAAACCATACTCAAACCCTGACTTGAGCATTGAGTAGAGTTCTAGAATACGATCCTAAGGGTCGTATTCTAGAACTGTACTCAATGCTCAAGTCAGGATTTGAGCAGACTTGAGTATGATTTCAAACACTGGAAATACGACCCTAAAGGCAAGGACTTGAGTATGATTTCTAGTGCTATAAATCATACTCAAGTCCTGACTTGAGCATTGAGTAGAGTTCTGGAATACGACTCTTAGAGTCGTATTCTAGAACTCTACTTAATGCTCAAGTCAGGATTTGAGTATGGTTTAAACCACTCGAAATCATACTCAAGTCCTTGCCATTAGGGTCCTATTTCCAGAGCTTGAAATCATACTCAAGTCTGCTAAAGTCCTGACTTGAGCATTGAGTAGAGTTCTGGAATACGACCCTTAGTTTTACATACAAACGATGTTGTCAGTAATGTAAAATAATTTAAGACCCACTTTAAAAATTAAGTTTTGAGTAAATAGTAGTTTTGTCCCCAATAGCCCCGATTACGTACATCATGAACATAGGTACCTATAGAACGCTCTGGATTTGATTGTCGCCAGTGAGCTGGCGGTGATTTTTTTTTTAATATGCCCAGTAGGTATAGTTTTTCTATTATCATTAGTTTGTTACCGTAAAATCTGCATGTCGGAGAAAACAGTTAAATTCTCAAGACATTACGCCTGGTGCAGGACAATACCTTTAATCTTCTCCCAAGAAGAAAGCAGTGTTTAGCAGTATAATGAAAAAAAATCAATACAAGTGCAGCTATTTTCAATGATTTAACATTCACTGGGTTCGCGGAGTAACAAAATAATTTCCTTCCATTTTTATTAGCATGGATTTCCGCAAAGTAACGCCTGAATATATTAATAACTACAGGCCTTAATAAACGCAGAGCAACGCGTAATGGCTGTCTGATTTCGGGAGTGGACGCCATTAGCAACTCATTAACTTTACTGCAATCGCCACTTCACCTGACAAGCATGGCGATTATGGCAAATCACCTTGGTTTTTCATAAAGATATAGAGGCAACAGTAGACTATTACAAACTCAAAATAAATAGGTTCTTCGTATCGTATCGGTGGCAAATACTGTGTGCTTATCATCGTGGTGAAATGGTTTGCCAATCGCAAGTTGTTGCCCCGGGTGCGTCAGGCATACAGAAAAGGAATGATATGTCATATATATAATATATATTTCATAGGTAAACAAATTAGATTTGAAATCGTCACATTGATTAAACTCTACTACTTCTTCGTAAGGCTGATTCCCTTGAGAAGAATGAGTAATTCTTAATAACAGCAGAGTGAAAGAGTACGTCCAGGAAATTACTGCCACCTTACCCATTTCTGCCGCCAAGCAGTAATGTCAGCATTACTGTGTTCCGTTTTGAAGGGTTGGGGTGCTGGTGAAATTACAGGCACACGGGACTTGTCAGCTTATGTCTCAGGGTGACGGGTGGCAGTACCCTTCAGATTTTTGCGATTTAAAGCTCGGTGTGACACTGCAACTGTTACGGATAGGCGTGTGGCTTACCATCAGGCGCACGACTCATTCATCTCGTCGCTTGATACTTAAAAAAACTGCCACTACCTATTTCTACCGCCAAGTAATATAAGCATTACTGTGTTCCGATTTTAAAGGGTAGGGGTGCAGCTCTGAGTGGTGTTGCTTTCCATCAGGTGCCCGACTTGTTCGTTCTGTCACTAGGTATCATAAAAAAAGGAAGAAGAAGGTACCAAGAATTGCTCTTTGTAAACAGACATTTGTGTACATTTATCATTTACAATATTTATTTTAAGCATGGTAATAGATCAAGACAATCTGCAAGCGCTAAACGGGTCACTACCATGGATTTTTGTACGAGTACCTGCGAATTGTACCTTTACGTTAGTTTTGTTTCATTACAGTTTGACACCTCGTAAAAGGCAAATTTTGAATCACTTGGAATCTTATTACAGTTTCTTTTATATCACTATTTTTCATTTAAAAAAAGACCATTATAGGAAATGAAACTATTTTTCCAGGTTTAAATCGCATATATTTGCTTTTTTTTTTCAAACAAACCAACGTTTCGGGCTCTTTACATCCCGTTGTCGCGGTTGACTGAAGTGTAAAGTCATCAACCAATTACGTCTAATATTAATGCAAACCACCCTATTTTTTCACTATAGTTACAAAAGTTAGTAATTAAATACCTTATTTTTAATTTTACAAAGAACATTTAAATTAAAATTACAGAGACCTTATAAAAATGACAATATTTCAGCTCGTAATTGTGCTCATGACAACTAAACTTACATAGGAAACGCGTAGACGCCTTTCAACGGACTTCAAAAAAGGAGAAGGTTCATTGGACTGTATGTTTTTCTTATTTTTATATGTTTGTTATGTATGATAATTTTTGATGACGGCATTTGTGAACCGATTTTGATGATTCTTTTTTTGTTGGAACATCAGATGTGGTCCCATTTAAATTTGAAATAAATATTACACCTCCAAGGTTGGCAAACTAGGGTATGAATGACTTTTAAGGTCGGTTTTTTAGTACTCTGTACTGTCTTTTTTTAATTTTTTTGCACGAAAATAAAATCCGGTGAATTATTAAGTCATTGTTATTTATATTGTTTGTAATATAGTTTTGCGAGGTTGTAAGTACTATAAGTAACCCAGTATATAAGTAGTTATTAATTTGTAATACCTAGGTACTACTATTCCCGAACTTATCTGCCTTAAAAAGTATGAATAATACGATTATCTCACAAATTGCTATGTTGACTTATAGTGTCCCAAATAAAGGTGCCTTATCCCAGCGTGAGCATAATGGAGTTTTTAAAATTGAATTAATGACGTAAAAAGTCGTTCATTAGTCGGTCCACCATTTAAAGTTGCAAGATTGTTTTAGTATCCACTATTGTTCCAACGACACCATTTTTCAGTTTTAACAAACACAGCAACTGGCTTAAATCTAATTGCACGCAGAAAACGTTGTTATCGATTCTAGTCGCATAATTCTGCAATTAGTCGCTAGTTATTTCCAGTTATTTCATTTATAGAAACCGTTCTGTAGAAAAACCATTTCACATAATTATGATTTATTTAATGTATAAAAAAATAAATAATAACTATGTGAAATGGTATTTCTACAGAACTGTTCCATTTTTTAAATTAAATTTAATTAATCGAATATACCCTATATGTGGCCGGTAGAGTTCTCCATATCCGCTAGATTTTTTGAGTTTGCAAAAATATTAAATATATCACACTAAACGGTTTTTTATTTACTATACTAAAATGAATAACTTTTAAACCACCAATTTCTGTACCCCAATAGTCAAATCGATTGATAATACTCATCCCTACCTACTCATTTCGTTGACTGTCACTTCCGGGCCACCTTGTTTAAAACACGCGCCAAAATATTTTACATATTTTTTTCGTACTGCTCTCACCGAACCCTAATTCTTCGACACAGTTTTGGACTACTTTCGTCGATGTATTTTTTACATCACTTTATTGAAACAGTGAAAATTGCATAAAATATTCCCATACAACTTGTCACAATGAACGAAAAGATTTTTCATCTACAGAAATATATTTATAAAAACAAAAATTAACTGCTAATCAACGAGTGTATGATATATGTATGTATTTGCTATTCTAAATATTTCGAGTTCTTAGGTTTTGGTGACTGTTACACATAGGAAATGAAACTATTTTTCCGGATTTAAATGGCGTATATTCTTTCGGACCCTTAACAAGTCCCATGGTCACATTGCCATGCTTGGTTTGCTTAAAAAACAAATATACGCGATTTAAATCCAGAAAAATAGTTTCATTTCGTGATTTCGAAATATTATTATATAAACCACAACTGATTTCGTAACAAACAACCAGGAACCTTATTAAAGATGAAGTGGAATAGACGGTTAACCGTCTATTCACTTCATCATCAGAACACATATTCGATGAAATCGAAGCTAAAGTCCACGTCGCTTCACTAAAATTAAAAAATAAAAGAGTCCAGGAAGTATTGCATTTTTTTGTTTATGGTGATACGTCAATAATTACGAAACCTCGGAGGCATGTATATGTCAAAAGTTAAATAAATGTTTGGCCGGATCGGATATATTTTATACCTTTAAACTTTGAATATTTGTGTACATAAGTTACTTTAGCAGCCAAAATTAAAACACAGTATAAGCATTTGTATTTGGTTTAGTCATTACGTTGGAAAATTTAGAATAAAGTTTGATTTTGTTTGTCTAATTAAATGAATAAAACGACTAATATTTTCAGTGTCAGTAAAGTTCCACTATCCACTAATTGAAATGCCTAGTAAGGCGCTTTAACTTCTTAAAAACCTAGCCAGTATCAAATACTTGCTAGGTTTTGAATATGTTAAAATATAAGGATTTGGACAGGTCTCGAACCAGACTAGGAACTCCTAGTAAGCCCTAGTAAAGCAAGTGCTTTACTAGGTTTTAAGGCTTCAAAATCTCTGATAAATTGTAGAATTTTGAAGCGACTGTCACCGCGATTAGACGAGTAGTTACTATAGGAGTAGTATTGGAAAAATTATTTTCAAAAAGTTTGTCTCTTACTAGGTTTTGCTCTGGAGCAGGTTGATCTGAGCAAAAATTCAATTAATTTTATTTAAAAATACTTTACAAAAAAGATTTAAAGAACTTATTTTCTGAAAAGGAAATGTTAAAAAAGATTATTAATGGAAAATTATATTTTTATTTTTATAACACTGACTTAATTGGATAGGTTAGAATATAATTATTTATTGTGATAATTTACTATTTTGTATTAAGTTTTATTGCATAATTCTAGAGGACCTATAATTAAGTATCACAGATTTCACAATTGTCACAATGTACCCCAAAATATGCAATATTTAATAATGATAATAATAATAATAACAGCGTAGGAAACGGCGGTTTAGGAAGGAAAAGATGTATTATTATAGAGGAAAAACAGACAGTAAAAAACAGCAGAAGAAGAAGAATAGAGTCAAGAAGAGGACATAGAGACAAAGAGCTAAACATAGACTAATTACACAGAATTACACATTCAAAAACTATAAAGAGGGTCTGTCCTCGACAATGCTGATTCATAGTTTTGTCTCTTTAGTTTTTGATTAAATACGACAAGCAATGAGAAAACGAAATAAACACGAAGAAAAATCATTGGGAAAATGATTTTGTCTGTGACTTTTTTTGGGATAGACATTTGACACGGTTGGATACAAACACATGGCACGACATTGCTATCAGTAGCATGTTATTAAGGCATTAATCAAGGTACATTTCGCACCCCTCATGGAAGAATGGCTTAAGTGGAGTTACGTTGAACATGTTTATTGCTCCATTAAATCTGAAAAATATAACCCACATCCTCTCCAATTCTTGTAACTCTGTCTACAATATTTGTCGATAGAATTACAAGAATTGGGTAGGGTGTGGGTTATATTTTTCTGTATCTAATGGAGCAATCAACGTTTTTGATGTAACTCCACATATGCCATTCTTCCATGACGGGAGCCATTTATTTATAATTAATTTATTATTATCACTTCAAACCTGATAACAAAATATACTATTCACTCCGTGGTCAGATTGACAACAGTCATCCGTTTCACTTTGACGGTGCATCATTTACGTATTTGACAAGCAATAAACAATAAGACATTCTTACAATTTAAATAAGTAGATAAACACTAAAACATATCAGAATCTCGTAAACTAATCCTATAATAATTCAAAACAGGATCCTTAATAAGGCATTCACTGTCCACAATCCCATTATATTCCAAAAACTCAGTTTGTCCCGTCAACCAATCTAAATACAACTTTAAATATCTGTCTCCAGGATCCAAATCCGTATGTCCCAAACAAAATATCCTATAAGCGTCCTCCCCATACTTTCCTATCCCGTATAAATCGCTTGCTCGACGCCATTTGGAAGAAACAAACTGGTAACTTAATTTCCAAATCATACTTCCACGCTTCCTTAATCCCAAATTATCAAAAAATCTTTCTAACGAAGTTGGTTTTTCGTTTAAAACATCGTACGGAGTCGGGTATTCCTCGAAGAAACTTTTGATGTAGCGCCTAGCTGTTCTATAAGACGTTTTTGTTAAAAATATTGTTGCTATTAACATTGCCCAGGGGTTAGAAGAAAACACTTCTTCTACTACACAGTGAGGTGATGAGGGCATGTCTCTAGGAGTTATATTGTAAAAGGGCTGTATTTTCAATATTTCCAGTTCTTCTATAGTTAACTGTGATAGATGTAGTTCGTCTTCTATAGAGTTTTGGCTTAAATCTTGTGAAGAGTTGTCTGTTGATGGGGTTGGCGATCTTGGAATACGATTTGGATTTATTTTCTCGCATTGGCTTTCTTGTGAAAAGAATCTGCTGATGCAAACACTTTCCTCCATGTTTACTTCAACCTGAAACAAGATGCATTTGTGTTATTATTTAAAGTCGCTGTCTAATCTACGCATCGTCTATGGGGATAAAGTTGTATACTGATCCAAAACTTAAGCTGATAATCAATTGTTAATCAACATGATCATAGTTTTGAGAAAATGGCGCCTAAAGATTTTTTTCGTGGTTTGGTGGAATGGGTTTACTTATGTCAACTGTTTATGTGTTTTTTATATATTTGGAAGTTTCAAATCACTTAGTTTACGTCTGCAAGATGTAGACGATGCGATAAGCTACAATTTGGCATTAAAATCTAATTTTCGTAGGTTATCACGGTATTGCTTATCAAGATACAAATTGTCATTCGCCCAGTTTAAAATAAACTCGTATAGAACGTTATAATTTAAACGAAATGAACAATTTTATAGTCATACACACGCCAGCACATCAAGCTACACATTGACGTATCTTGTTCCGTTGCACTTGAAGGCGATTTTCGAACAAAAATGTGTAGTCTAATGTGCCGTTGTCCGTACATACATCTAGTTCAGACCTACCGTATTTATTACATTACAGAGTTTATAAAATTTAAGAGGTCCATAATTGAGAAATAGACGCAGTAGTGGTGTAATCCAGATTCAATTTTTTTTCTACAGTACCAATTACTTCAAATGATAAAAATATCTAATTGTTTTATATTTGGATGCTATTTTCATGGAAAAAAATTAATAATTAAATATTTTTATATGTACGTATAAGTAAAGTTTTAATGATTATTTCATTTAGAACAGAATAGAATCTAATTTTGTATATCGCTTAACGTGTTCTAAATTCATATAAAATTAAAACTAACTTTTTTATATAATATCAAGAGACGGGGCGAACAAGTCGTGTGCTTGCTGGTAAGTTACACGCCTGTTTAAAACAGTTGCAGTGCCACTCAGAGCTTTAAATCGCAAATATCTAAGGGGCACTGTAACCACGACAATCACCAGGGTGTCTCAGGCATAAGTTGACAAGTCCTATGTGCCTGTAATTACGGAACGTAGTAATTCTCACATTACTGCTACGTCTCCGTGGCAGTTCAGCATGGTAACCGTACTGCTACGGAGGCAGTGATGTCCTGTACTTAAAAAGTAGATGCATACATTCAATTTTTTTTTCTCATTTCTGTGGGCTTTTTATAGGGAGATTACATAAACATTTACTATTAAAAAAACACGATCGGGTAATATGAAGACAACATTCGGAAGAAATATAATGTATTTTTAATTATTAAATTTTTTCTTTAAATAACGACTAGATCAGATAGATACTAAAAAAGGAAATAAAACCGCTTATTCCCAGTTGTCACCACTGGCTTTGTTCCCAATGGTGACAAGTGGGAAAAAAATCCCATATGTGACAAACGGGATAAATTTTTTTTAAATTTATTGCTGGCCATGGAAACAAAGTCCTTCAGCCGAAAACATAAAAGTAATTATTAAGGAAAATTATGCTTATTATCTAATTATAAGTAATCACATTAAATTTTTTCTATAGTGCTAAAAATAAATCTAAAAATTGGTGAAAAGTAAACTGTATGGGATAATAAGTCTTGTATGTGGCGGGGAACACTTAACGAGTTTTCGTCCGATATGTCACTTAATTCAATGACAAGTATCAACCGCTGCATACCAAAAGCTTCACAGTTAAAAATTATATGAGCAATATCAGCATTGGTATTGGAACAATAATTACATTTCGAGCTAGTCACAATCTTTAGTCTATTAAGATGGGCTGGAACCAAGCAATGACCGAATCGCAGGCGATTAATAACAGCTATGAATTTTCTGCCGCAGTACTCGAATTTGTTATACCAGGGTTCTATTGGTATGTCTTTTTGTATTTCTGCATACCACTTTCCTTTACTTTCCTTAGTTTTATCCCAATATTGCTGCCACATTCTTCGTTTGTTTCTTTTAAATAGCTGGTAAAAATCAGTAAATGGTACTTTTAAAATTTCCGTATGATCCTCATCGTGGTCTTGCCGAGTTGCCAAATCCACAACCTCACTTCCGCTTATTCCACTATGTGAAGGTACCCATACAAATTCTATGTGTTTAGTTTGTCTTAAAATTTCCAATATATGTTTAATTTCATATACAATATAATTCAATTTAAATGCAAAGTGACCATTGCACAAACTTGTTACGACACTCTTTGAATCACTTACTATTAAAATATTTACATTATTTACATGGCTTTGTACAAATTTTAAAGCAGCTAATATGGCATAACTTTCAGCAGTAAAAACACTACAGTTATTTCCTAACTTAAGACATTTAGAAAAGTGTTTTTGAGGGTCATAAAAAGCTGCTTTAACACTGTCCAAACATTTAGAACCATCCGTGTAGATGGTATAGAAATTGGATTTACTACTCAAGAATTCTAGAAAATCGAACTTATTTTTTACACTATCTAAATTACAATTAATATCCAGAAAATTGAGCAAAGAAAAGTATGGACATTGGTAAACTGGCCACTTATCAGAGGTATTAATGTTTCTAGATTTATATTTAACATAAGTCATAATATATGGAATTTCAGCCAAAACCAGGGAAAGAAGTGTGTCAGCCGAAATATCAGTGATATCAACAGACTGAGACACAGCTGAAGGATATAAAAACTTGTTAAGGACTACACTATTATTTGAAGACAACTCCTTCAGACAAAATTTCTCAGCCAATTGCAAGCGGCGCAATGACAATGGAGGTATGCAATTTTCAATTTCCATAGAATTGATGGGAGTAGAGCACATAGCCCCACTAATTATCCTTAAACCCATGTTTTGTATCACATCAAGTTTTCTCAATAAAGTGTTGCTTGCATTCATATAAGCAAGGCTACTATAATCAAAATGACTTCTGACAATACTTTTATACAGCATATTTAATGTTTTAGGGTCAGAACCCCAAAAGGTTCCTGCCAAACACCTTAACGCGTTAATACTTTCATGGCATTTTGGCAAACATAGTTAATATGTAAATTAAATTTCAATTTATCATCTATTATTACACCTAGGAATTTATGATGACTAACAATAGGAATGACATTGCCGTTATAACTAAGTTGGACAGAAGGTGCAGCTAATGGATTAGTACTAAACACTAAAACTGAACTTTTTTCAGAACTAATTTCCAATTTTAAAATATTGCTATAATAATGTTCTAAATTGACTCAACGCTGTATTCATATTACTAACAGCCATACTTAAGTTTTGATTTTCACTGTATAAAAGTAAGTCATCTGCAAATTGCAAGATTTTAATTTGTGAAGTATCTAGAATATAATCAAGGATTTGAGATGTGTACATATTATAGTAGAGATTATCACCTCTAACACTAACACTAACACTCACACTAACATTAACACTATCAACACTATCGTGTTGCACCCTGCAGTCCCTTTAGTTACAATCTTAGGTCCATGTAATCTGTTGTTAAACTTAACATATAAAGTCCTATTGGACAAAAATTTTAATATCCATGTTAATGTTTTACTTGGTACACTCAAGATGTGCAACACATTAATTAGGCATTCAATATTTACATTGTCGAAAGCACCTTTCAAATCTAAGAAGACACACACAACATTAGAATGACTGAGCTTTGCTTTTTTAATATCCGATATAAATGATACAAAGCTTTCGGAGCAACTCCTTCATATTCTGAATCCAAATTGTATGTTTGGTAACTTACCCTGTGATTCAGTAAAGTAATCTAATCGTAATTTCAACATATTTTCAAAGAGTTTACCTAAACATGAAGATAAGGAAATGGGTCTATATGATGAAGCACTATTCACAGGTTTATTTGGTTTTTATATGGGAATAACACATTGGGTTTTTCATGACTCTGGTATAACTAGATCATTCCAAAGTTTATTGTAAATATCCAGCAATATCTTGATGGCATTTAAATGTAAATTTTTTATAATCATGTATGGTATATTGTCCATTCCTGGTGTTGTATCTTTCCTACTCCTAAGTGAAACTAGAAACTCATTCAGTGTAAAAGGTTCATTAAGAAAAGAATTACTGCTACTTTCCACAGACTGGTTCAAAATATCATTAATTTTGTCTTCATCCAATAGCGATGAGTCTGCCAATTTGTCTAGGAAACTTGGTACCCACTCATCATTTAGATGTCTGTTTTGCGAACTGCCTATCCTTTTAAATCTCTTAATATATCTCCATATTCTAGTAACAGGTGTCATTCTATTAAAACTGCTACATAGTTCTTGCCATGATTTAATACGTTCTTCCTTAAGTATTCTTTTTTTTAGCATCAAGTCTCTTATAATTTATGAAGTTAGGAATAGTTGGTGAATTTTTATATTCTTTTAAAGCTTGTTTAGAAAGTTTAACAGCATTAGCACAAGTTTCATTCCACCACGGAGCTGGTTTTCTTAACGTTTGCAAAGTTTGTTTTGGTTTTTGCTTAGGGACAGTTTCATTTCTAATATCATACAAAATATGTACAAAATTATACAAATCAAGAGGCTGACCGTTAATTGTATTTAAGTGGCAAAATTTGTTTTCAGATAAAGAATTAAACTTTGACCAATCTGCCTGTCTATAAACATACTTTTCTTCCACAGAACGAACCTCATACACCGAAGGACACACGTTGACATCTACCTGAGTTGGATAATGACAGCTGCCCATTGGATCATCGTGGACATGCCATTCACAAAGTGGAGCTATTACCGGACTAACAAATGATATATCAATAGCAGATGCATTTTTATTTGGATACTGGATAGTTGTTGGACTACCATCATTCAAAACCACAAAATCAAATTCATCTATGACATTGTAAAGGGCATTCCCTCTACTGTCACTAGTCTGACAACCAAACAGCAAATGATGTGCATTGAAGTCTCCCATGATGAGACATGGTTGAGGAGTATTCCGTAACAGTTTTTTCATTTTACTGGAATCAAACCTTCCACTATTCGGTGGACAATATACACATAAAAC